GGTCAGTGGGAAGAATGCCCCTTATGTTGGTGGTCAGTGGGAAGAATGCCCCTTATGTTGGTGGTCAGTGGGAAGAATGCCCCTTATGTTGGTGGTCAGTGGGAAGAATGCCCCTTATGTTGGTGGTCAGTGGGAAGAATGCCCCTTATGTTGGTGGTCAGTGGGAAGAATGCCCCTTACATGGGTGGTCAGTGGAAGAATGTTCCCTACATGGGTGGTCAGTGGAAGAATGTTCCCTACATGGCTGGTTAGTGGGAAGAATGCCCCTTACATTAGTGGTCAGTGGGAAGAATCCCCCTTACATGGGTGGTCAGTGGAAGAATGTTCCCTACATGGCTGGTTAGTGGGAAGAATTCCACCCTTACAAATGGCCAATAGGATGTATATCACAATCAGAACTTGCTGATTGCTCAAGGAGCCCTTACCAACATTTGGAGCCCTTACCAGTGTTGTCGCCCTGTTACAGGAAGTGTAAAATTAAGAGATCTACTGTCAGGATCAAGAGTTGATAAAACTATGCTACAGGGGAACTCCGAAGAACAAAGACTGCTTAGGTGTTGATAGTGACAGACTGAACTTATGTCATTTTTTCATGTTGCCCATAGTTCCACTTTAAAATAAAGATCTTGATCTTTTTGTTTAAGCCTTGTTCTTGAGCCCACTGTGTTCGTATTCCAATTATCTGTCTAGACACCTTGCTCACATTCATGAAGTACAGACTGGGAATGATTCCGTTTCCAGCTCCACAGCGACCAATCAGTTTCCAGTCTTCATATTCCTTTCCGCTCTAGAAAACTGATAGCTGTAATCTGATTGGCTACCACGTACAATTCACTTTTTACGGGCTATTATGGTTAATAAATAGTTACATACTTTCTGTAATATGAGTCAGTGACCACATTACCTCATTATTAAGAGCTGTCTGGCCTGCTTCTCATCTACACTGCTGCCATGACATAGTGGAAACCTTTGTCTACACTGATTTAAAGTGAACATGTACTTTACCTATACTAAGCAAAGTAACAGGTTCAGATTACAGGAGGGCAGGGCCTCCATTAGAAATCATGGGGTCCATGCAAGCATACTCACTAATACTCACTGCATAGATCATTATTATTATTATTATTATTATACAGGATTTATATAGCACCAACAGTTTGCGCACCGCTTTTATAGCTAGAAGGAGCCAGCAGATTAGGAGAGTCAAGGAGCTGCTAATAGATGAGATTGACATTAAATTGAGGAGGCATTTGGCTCTTTGTATGCACTTCCGCACTGTGCCTCGGGCACTCGGTCGATCCCTTGCAAGGTGGTGCCAGTAGGAAAGATATGGCAGGGGGAGGCCCCCCTACTAAGCTGATGGGGCCCAGGTCCGGTATGGGAGTGCTGCCTGTATCCCCTTTTTGGCTGCCCTGCAGGAAGAGATCATAAGGATCCGGCACTTGACTTCCTCTGGCTATCCCAACATCCATTAGTTCTTCAAATATTGAGTATTATTATTAATATTAATCATATTTAATCTCTCCAGCCAGCAGGTGAAGTTTGGAGTTGCTGTTTACATGTCTGTTTACCAAGTGTAGTAAAACATTTCCTGTTTGCATAGAGCTCTAGCTCAAGTTGTTATATACCTACAAAAGTGAATTGCTCACCACAGTTATCAGATGGTTCAGTCTAAAGGAAAGACTGCGTGTCTGAAGGAGAGATGCCTCTGCTTTGCGGTCTCTAGCTAATGCATAGTTCTCTTGGATTCCTTTTTCATGCATAAAACATTTATTAGGAAACATTGCATACATACAATAAAATAAAACCACCATGGTATCCTGTCTTTCCTTACAAAGCAGTTACTTTTATTCTATGGCAACTACACTCTTCTCTCTGCTCTGTGATCAGCTCTACTTTCCCAAACCAGTCCTCATTTTCTTCCCTGGAGCCTCTCTCCAATAGCTATGGTATGGATTGTAGGGGGACCCTCTCTGACCCAACCACTGCCCATGCAAGGGGACCTTCATTGTTATTTCCTTTCTAATTGTTTGGGTTGTATTGTTCCCTTTTTAAAGTTGACTTTTCAGTAACCGTACAAGTACAAGTCTGCATGACTACATTGTGCATATGGCACGATATACATCAACAGTATTTTTGGGGGTAAAAAACCCCCCAAAAACAAAGCTCCCAGTTTTATCATTATAAAACCATCCTTGAGCACCAGGGAGCTAATACAAGTTCCCAAACTTCCGTGGTTAGTCCAATTAGTTCGAGTGTGGTCCCAAAAATAAAAAACATCAAATTGTGGAGGTAAATGAAATGGCGTGTATTTACGCCATTTCATTTACCTCCACAATTTGATGTTTTTTATTTTTGGGGCCACACTCGAACTAATTGGACTAACCACGGAAGTTTGGGAACTTGTATTAGCTCCCAGTTTTCCAGCCCCCCCTTCCCCCCCGCTTACAAGGTTCAGCGAAAAATCGCCCTGTTCCCTACTCGGCTTGCAGCGCTTCTCCCTTCCCTTCTCTGTTTAACTTACTCTTCGGTTGGACACCCCGGTCCATACGCTTTTGAAGCTGCTCAAACCGTACAAGGAAACTCAACATATCTCCAATTTAACCCCTCAAGTATAGCGCTGTATCCTGGCATGCTGTCCTTTTTAACTTTCCATCCTTGAGCACCAGCCCATTGACCTTGCCTAGGTTGAGATGATGTCATCAGTCTCCTGCAGATGAGAGTTTTCTCAGTCTCCACTCTCTCCCAGTCATTCTGCAACATTGTATCTTTGTAGAAAGTCACAAGGTGAGAGGCTGCAAGGGGTGCTGGTCTGTTTTAGGCTAGGTTCACACCTGCACTACACCGCACCACACCCGGGTTGTGCAATCGTGTGCTAGTGTACACAGCGATTGCTGCGCGGCCCCATTGATTTCAATGGGGTGACATCCACGCGGCAATCCCTAAAAAAAAAAAAAAAGAAAGTGCAAGTACCTTTTTTTTGCGACATATGACGCACAGCCTTTTCACTTGCTTGGGCGACATCGCGGCAGGAAACCACATGATCCGCCTGGCGCGACTGGGGTGCCATGAGAAAATCATGGAACCACAGCGCGATCGGTTCACACCTTGGCAACTCCTGACCACGCGGTGAGGTGTTGCCTAGGTGTGAACCTAGCCTAAGGCTCCCAATACAGGAGGCATTTGTATCCACAAGCTGACCCTTGCACTACATAACTCATTGGTAGACCCAAAGGAAATTGTAAAATCAGATTAAAATGTGGGTGGGGAGCTTTACATATGTGGTGACCCCGGATGATGCCTCAACAAAGATGGTGCCAAAGATGATAAATGGTGGCATTGTCCAAGGGGGTTCTGTGATCTCTGTGAGGTGATAAAAATGTACCTAGTAGTGTTACAAGTACACAATACTTAACATGTTGCACTTCACATTTAAACATCTCTCTCATGTTAGGTCCACTTTAAGTAAAAGAAACAGGTCACCAGCACTCGTTGAGAATAAATATGTCCTTTTTTAATGGACAATTGTGTCACTACAATCAACAGAGCCGACGTTTCGGGGCCGCACAGGGTCCCTTCTTCAAGGCAGTAAAATTGTGAAAGTAAAATTGTGAATAAAATTGTGATGTCACAAGAAGGGACCCTGTGCGGCCCCGAAACGTCGGCTCTGTTGATTGTAGTGACACAATTGTCCATTAAAAAAGGACATATTTATTCTAAACGAGTGCTGGTGACCTGTTTCTTTTAATTCGTATTTTGCACGGTGCCATCCGTGATAGTCATTGCGAGCACCACTGTTCTTATTTGGCCAGGACTGCTGTAAGGTGTGCGGAGAGGACCCCCACCACCTGAAAACAGGTCCACTTTAAGGACACTGTTCTCTTATTCAGTTAATTAAATTAACTTGGCCAACAATCCAGCTGGCAATTAGCTCCTTCTTTCGCCCTCTGTGCCCCGCAGATAGATGAGTGAGAGATACATCACAGTGAACATTGTGTAAATTTCAGCCTATTTTGACCACTAATGAATGTAGATAGAAAAATAACAGGATGTTCCGAGGTAAATGAAGCTCTCCGCAATTAACCGATTCATTGAATTTCAATATCAATTATGCCCGTGTTCTTGTGTATGCGCGGCAATACAAAGCAGGCGCGGTGCCCCTGGCCTGTCCCTACCTCTAAAACTCCACCGAACGCCATGTCCTTGGGATAAGATAGCACCAATTAAAGCCATTTAATGAGGCCTGCATGCAAATGAGGCTGATGCATATGTATGAGTCGTGCGCTGGTCCTCTGTTGCCTTAATTTAAATAATCTTATTGTAAGGCAATTGTCTTTTTAATTGGTTCCATTGCACATGCACGGGGTGTTTATTATGTTTCCTTTTTTTTTCCACTTCCAGGAAGAACACTGAAGAGCTCAAGAATGTACCTGTGACCTCGCTGTTCTCCGAGGGGATAACTTGAGAGGACTGGACATTAACATTGGACTGGCAGAGGTGACCCTTGTAAGTAATTTTTTTATTTTTGTATATTTCCTCAGCTAAATGGAGTCTTAGAGCTACAGACGGCTAACCTAATTACATACAGTACCATACAAACACCTAACCTAATTACATACCATATATGTGAATTGCTTTGCCTGCCACAAAATTTGTAATTGACAGTTTTGTAATTAACAAAGACAGAGAAGAGAACACGCCACAATAACTAATAAAAGTCCAGAATAATTTATTGTTTAAAGGATCCATTATTATTCCAACACGGATCGAACCCCCCCCCCCTTCATCAAGGCTTAAAGATGACTCCAAGATCGTTTGAAAATCTAACCATTACTTCTTGTCCTTTGCCATAGTACAAACAAGCATGTTTTTTAGGTGACCTATACATCATTTTTGTTATGATTACCTTTTTAATGTTCAAGACGGGGGAAAAAGCACCTATGCATGGGCTCACTTGCTTTTACTGTTGGGTGCTACTGTATGAAACTAAAATTCTTATCATGCACTTTGAATTATTTCCTTTAATGGGTGTGAATGTGGACAGGATACAAGCAGGTGTCAAAGGGCATGACAGACCGCAAGTCCACTGGCCTATCAGTCATGGTGTTATGTCATTGTGAGCGGGACAGACCGGGAGCCTTCTGACCTGTCGGACATAATGTTATGTCATAATGGGTGGGACAGACCGGAAGTCTCCTGGCCTGTCAGTCATGGTGTTATGTCATTGTGAGCGGGTCACAATGGGGGGTTCTGACCTGTCAGTCATAGTGGTATTTCACTGTGGGTGGGGCAGACCAGGAGTCTCCTTGACTGTTCTTCATGGTGGTATATCATAATGGGTGGGGCAGACTGGAAGCCTAATGGCCTGTCAGTCATGGTGTCATGTCATCATGGGCGGGACAGACCAGGAGTCTTCTTACCCGTCATTCATGACGGTATGTCATAATGGGTGGCACAGAGCGGACGTCTCCTGGCCTGTCGGTCAAAGTGGTATTTCATTGTGGGTGGGACAGATCCAGGAGTCTAGTGACTTGTCAGTTATGGTATCATGTCATCGTGGGTGAGACAGTCCAGGAGTCTCCTGGAATGTTATTCATGGTGGTATGTCATTGTGGGCAGAGCAGACCGGGAGCTTGAGATGGTCAGGTCCCACGACTACATCCAGTGGTGATGTAATTATGTCGCCACTGGTAAAAGAAGAATTAAGAGGGGATGTTATCCAACCGCCTGGGGAAGGAGCAGGCGCAGTGGCAACCAATCGTATATGCGGGGAATGAGGTACACTGAGACCTAATCATGAAGGAATCTCTGAGTTGTTTTGCAGTGCCTGCAGCATTGACTTCACAATAAATATTTGCTGAAAGGTAAGAAATGACCTTTCTAACAATGCGTAAAGTTTTTGCTCAAAGTTCAGCTTTAAAGCATATCGAAATCCAAAACCGAAATTTAATATAGTGCAGATTAACTGTCCTTAGATGTGGTGGCTTGATTAGATTTCTGTTTTCTGGCTTTTCCCCTTTTTATTTTTACCTATGAATTCTGGAAAGGACACGCTTCCTGTCCCTGGTCGGCTACACTTATCCCTTCTATATATCTAAGGAGAAAACCATGGTTGTCACCCAGGCTGGACTGCTAAAATGTCTTCCTTTGTTCATCTCCATCACATGAGTAATGGAGATTGGTAGTTTACAGAAGAAATATAACACTTTGTTTTCTTTTAAAGTAGTATAAAACGCTCACTAATAAATCCAAACCAAATATACATCGTCCAGCAAAGTATTTCTTTGCATTTTTGCCTAAGCATTTACAGTCATCATGTTTCCAACCATCTCCCAACTCTCTCAGCTCAGCTTCCCTGATCTTCCTGTCCAGTATAAGATTATAATGGACAGAGCAGTCTCCAGCAGCTGTCCTTCTACTAGTTTGGAGAAAGGAGAAAATAGGAGGGAGCAGAGGATGGGCTTGCCTTGCTGTGTATGTGGAGACACACGCAGCTTACTAGCACACACAAGGGTGGCTTCTTAGGACCCTGAAATAGAAAGGAAAACAGGATATCAGGGCCAGTGCTCAGGGGACCAGCTGATTCTGCAGGAAGCTAAAACATTTAAACATCATTTTAAATTTTAATCAGCATTCGAAATCGCGCTTAAAAACCTTTTGACTTTAATATCACTTTAAGTTCAGCTCCCAGGAAGTGACAAGCACATGGCATTTTTCTGATGGGATCAACAGCTATTTTGTGTACTTGCTGAAAATTGCTGTACAAAGGAAACCAATGCAGCCACTACATCCAAGGACTGGTAAGCTGCAATATATATATGACATTTTTGTTCTTGGGTGTGCAGGGATCCCAACCTGAAAAGAAGCCATTTCAGGGAGGTGTCCTTCTCATTTCAGGGAGGTGCCCTCTACGCCCCCCCATCCGCGGAGGGGGGTTAGGGGGGCTGGGAGAGAGCACCCCCCTGAAATGATGGCAGATAGCACAGGAAGCAATAGCTTCTTTGCTATCTGCAAGTTTTTTTTTCTGATTTAGTTTTTAGTATTCTGACAGTTGCAGTCGTCAGAATATTTAAAAAAAAAGGCATAAGAATGCATAGCTAGATTCCTATTGGCTATTGCACTTTGCAATAGCCAATAGCAAACTAGCTATTGCACCCGCCCTCTGCTGCTTTCAATCTCCAGAAGAGGACCTGATAGAAAAATTCAGGTCCCCCTCTGCTGATTGACAGCAGCAGTGGGCGGGTACATTACCTAGTTTGCTATTGGCTATTGCAAAGTGCAATAGCCAATAGGAATCTAGCTATGGATTTGTATGCCTTTTTGTTTCTTTTCTGACTGACGGTCGGGCCGCGGCTCCTGTCCCGATGTCAGAAAAGAAAAAAACGATCGCAGGGAAAGGTTTATCTGCTCGATCGAGCAGATAAACCTTTCCGGGAGGAAGTGTTTCTCTCCCGGGCGGCCAGGAGCCGCTATCCAATAGCGGGAGACTCCCGGAGCATCCGGGAGAGTTGGGATGTCTGGGTGTGAGTGACAGCGGGGCCAGGAAAAGAGGCACCACAGTGCTAATGCTAACGTGGCACACATGGGCTTTGTTGTAGTATTATTATTATACAGGATTTATATGGCGCCAACAGCTTGCGCAGCACTTTACAATATAAGGAAGACATTACAATCACAATACAATTCAAGACAAGATGGTGTATGCAGGCGCAATGGCTCTTGGGAGATGTAGTCAGTGTAGAGCAGTGCACGTGACCCTAATACATGTGCACTGCTTGTACCTCAAAACTGGAAATTCTTGGAAAGCTCTTCCATGGATAGCGGGGTGATGGGAAGAATCGTTTTTTATATTATAAATAAAGCAACTCTTAATTTTAATGTTGTTGTATTGGAAACTTTTTTCTACCTTTTGAGGGTTTGGTGACACTTTGTACCCTAAACCAGCTGTAAGATAACCGGCTCAATTCACAAAGCTTCAACACAAGGATAAGAAGCTTTATGTTCTCCAGACGAGTGACGCTTGCAGGCTTCATGCATCCGAAATGTTTTGTGTTTTCTATTTGATTTTTTTTTTTCTCTTTGCATACTTACCCTCGGTAAACTGAGTAAAATGACAGTTTAAAGCCATTGGGGAATGCCGCTTATTACAATTTCACAATTCACCAAAGCATCAAAGCCGCTTTAATTAGCGAAAACTGGAGCTGGTGAATATTTATAACATTTTTTGTGCGGATCTGGCCTCCCGGTTGCATGCAAAATAATTACTGCTCATCTATCCCGAGCCCCGTGGATGGATCACCTCCTTCTAGAGCCGACAGGCTGTGCCGGTGACTTTGCTTAGCAACTACTTGTTGACCTTGAATATTATACAATAATTATCCAGCATTTAGTTTTCTTTCATTGTTGTAGGATTATTTTTAGCTTGTGTTTTAAGAATGTATTATTTTCCATGCATGGTAACAATGCTCCTGAAAATAAAGGCGTGCTACAGTCATGAATGAAATTAAACCGAACAATGCATGCAAGGGAATTCAATAATGCACCCGTCAAAGGTCAGCGTTTTCACCCAATCATAGCTGGACATAGCCAGGGCACTGTCGTTGCTACAATGAACTTTGTTGTTGCAAATCTGATTTTCTTGGAATACTAGCTGGTGAGCCTGGTGAATATTCAAAGCCAGGTATACCTGCATCCACCCATTCTAGCCCACTGCTGTTTCTCTGAAGTTGTATGAAATCATGAGACCAGCATAAAACACTTGGAGAAGTTGGCTAAACTACAATGAATTACCTTAAGCTCAGGTGAAAGCTAGCCCGTAAAACTTTTCCCCATATACAGGTACACCTTGTATTATATCCACACATATAGTTTCTTCAAATTGGTTATTTTTAGTACTCATGATGTGTTGCACCCATTTGTAGTCATGCGTAGTCGGGAGTCTTGGCATCCTTGATGGTGCCGTAATCAGCTCAGTCTTTAAACTGGGGCAAAAGGGGCAGTTGCCTTGGGCCAAGTCATTGTTTTGGGACCCAAAGCAGATGCCCCCTGAGCGCGCAAAAGATACACATGTGGCACTGTTCTGTTTACCATGCAATCTGCATCACATAGTGATGCTCCACCCCTGCTGTACATCACGTAGCATGACCACATGACATCTCATGTGGGTTCAAGTCTTGCGCAGGGTCAAATCTCCCTCTGACCTCTCCTCCTATCTGCCGGTCAGGTAGGGGGCATGGTGGGGAGGGGGTGGGGTGTGACGGGGGCCAAAAAAAGTTTGCCCAGGGTCCAATCAATATTAAAGAAAAGCCCTGGCCGTGATCTGCAAAGCACCTCTCCATGATGATGTCACACCCAATCTCCGGCATCCGTGCCCACACTCATGAAACCTTGTTCGCTCACAGCCACCGTTAACAGTTTGGCTTGGCTTGGCTTTATTTTTCTGAGCACAACCATCCCCATGGAATTTGACATTGATGTTCAAGGTGAATCTTTCCATAAAGTCTGCACCAGAACTGATAAAAGATGGTGCCAGCTTTGGCTAGAATGAGACTTGTGCAGTTGGTTATACACAGTATAACCAGTGATCCATTTAAATTGGATTGGCATGCATGATATCGGGGACTTGACTTGTATGATTTTAACTTTTTTTAACCAATTAACTGCTGAGTTTAATTCCTGACTTCAGCACAGATTTCGAGTTTTCAGTCCCAATGACGAGTCCTGGTTCAATCTGCTGCCTGGAGCTGGTCTTTAAAGTGTACCATTGACCTATACACAGTAGCATATGATCTCTAACTATGGTGGCAGCCTTATTTACCCATTGTATGTCTTTGCTTCCTGCTTAGCATACAGCAGTAAAAGAAATGACATAAGCCGCCTAAACTGTCTCTCTCTCTCTCTCTCTCTCTCTCTCTCTGTCTCTCTCGTCTCTCTGTCTGTCTCTCTCTCTCTCTCTCTCTCTCTCTCTCTCGATATATCTATCTATATAGATATACACTGTATATGTGTATGTATATAGAGAAGCACAAGGAGAGTAGAACACACTGTGCCTGCTGCATATGCAGGTGTCACATGCCAGCTCTATATCGGGAGGTAAACAATCATTTAATCGCGTAGCTCATGGTCTTCTCCCTGCAGAGAGTAGTGACTGTCAGTCATTGCCCTCCCCTGCAGGGATTCCCTCCCCTCCCCTCTCCATTCCTCCAGTGCTCATTTGGGGGCAGACATGGAGGGGGCGGGGACAGCTGGCTCTGGCTCTAGAGAGGCAGAACCAGCTATCAATTAGGCAGCCAGGTGGGTCCTGCCAATATTGTTGGGATCTTTCCCTGCTGTGGCGCGGCTCTGCGCTATCAGCTGATTGCGGGCATTAGGTTTGGCTTTACTTCTCTATTAATGATATATTAATGATTACAGAGCTGCATTCATTTGTGTCTTTTATATCTGCCCAGAGTTTATCTTTAATTTTGCAGCACTCCACCATTCTGGCATCCAGAGAGCTGAGTGTTCCTTTGCGATAATTCACAGAGGGAAGATTTTTTTTGTGGAGCAGTTTGGAGAAGTAATGACAGCAATTTGGGGATGCGTGAAATGATTCATTGTATCAGTCTTTTTTTGAAATCAGTATCTATTGTGTTGAAGAGCTTAACTCTGCAGAACTAAGCAGCACTCCAGCAGTTTACGCTTTTTGTGCCAGAGGAGTTTGTAACAAGTTTTTTCTTTTTTACTTAAAGGTACAGCTCAGTTAAAATGTATGTCAACCCTAACAATGAACTTCTCTTGTATGGACTTTTGGTCTCTTTTATATAAACCTTTGAA